TTCAACCGAAAAAGAGAAAATAAAGATTTATCCCTTTCTTTTTCATCAATATAAGAATTATTAAAGCGTAGAAGGAAAAAATAATTAATCGCGTATTTCATGAATGAATAAATTGATTTAATAATAAATAATTAATTAAATAAATAAAATAATTATATCATGGTAAAGCAGAGAGTAATTGTCAAAATTTAAACAGTAACTCTATTTTTCGGAAATGAAATTTGGTCGATCAACTGGTCTATTTCTTTAAAAAATAATTTATCGAATTGTATGATTTATTTTGTCAAAATTAAATACTATAAATATGATTTTCTCAAATGAATCGGAGTTACCGGAGAAAGATTTTTGGTAAGCTACGATGTTCGCGTAGACAAAAAGCAAATAAATAAATAATAAGCAGGATATTGAAATGTATCTTTTTTTAATGCAATATTCTGTTTTTCCTTGTTTATCGTCTGATAACGTTAGAAATATCTTTACGTGTGTGACCTGCATGTATGCACAATTAATATTTAAAGTCTTGATGTTACAAATATAATATAATATAAGACAATGATCCACATGATTTTAACAACGATTTTGGCCGTATACGTTCAAATTTTAAATTTATTTTTTAAAGCTAATTATAAATTCCTTGACATATGTCTAAATTAATAAAAGAAATCATAATTATAAAATATAATCAATGAAAATATTCTACCCAATTTATCACACCACGGCTGTTACTATAAAATAGAAGATTTTCATTAATTTTATCTGGCATTAGATAACATAAAAATAATATATACATGAACAGGGGAAAACATGAAGTTTTTTAACAGCTTACCTTTTCGGCATGGAAATAAACTCAAAATATAATCCATCGGGATGCCAAAAATCAAAATAAATCGAAGACCTTTCCTTCCAAGAAAACTGACAGGTGTGTGTAGCTCTGTAATTAGCACACTGTCTTCCTGTGCGGTCAACCGCCCCCTCCCCCTTCTCCCCTAACTGACACCTCGGCCCGTGTGTGTGTGATCACCGTCAACATACCTGTACTGATTTCTCACCCGGGGTAAATTACTAACCTCGAATACTGTACCTGGTTCTAATGAAACGCATCTACTTATTTTCGGCATTTTGTTCCTAACTTGTTTGAACAATTTTATCAAAGATTTAATTCATAATACATAAAATAATTGTACAATTTATGGATTAAAAAATCATCTTGAATGTTAAATAAAAATTCAAATAAATCAATTTAATGAAATGAAGTCCCTAAACTCACTCCGTTGATTCTTTTTCATTTCGTACAATGTTTCCATTATGTTTATGTAAATAAGTCTTTTAATAAACATAAAAAAAAATATACTGCACTTATGGTACGTGCACTTTCGGGTCATCGGGTTTTCTACGTAAAACGGACAAAATTAATTCTAGGAAACAATTTCATTGATCGTAGAAACGGATGGAATAGTTCTAACATTCTAAACTATGAAAATTATCTAGCAATATTTTTTAACGGTATATTACTGTAAAAATAAAACAAAAGGAGTAGTCTGATCCGCCGTGACCATGCAAGACTAATAAATACACCGAATCAATTTATAGTATTAATCGATTTTATTCCATACGTATATAACTTTATTTAAGAATTCAATATTATATTTGGCTATTTGGTTAGATATTGTTTATCTAATTTTAAATTGGTTGCGGACTTTCAAAATACCGCCCTTCGAATATGCCTAATATGAGATTACCGGGTCAGTGTAAAATGATTTTTAAAATTTAATAATTCATTTGCGTAATTAAACCTATTTTTCGTTACTATTAGAAACAGTACACACAGAGTTTAATAGCAATGATTTTTAATTATTTAGTCGGAAAAGTCGCATTTCACTCTTTTAATATTTGTTAATTAATTTTTCTGTTTTGTATTTTAAAGAAGAAAGTATTTAACCATTCCATGTTCGTTAAGAAATACGAGGTTTTAAGTATCTGTAATGTAAAATGTTTACATGTACATAAGTCAGAGCTTAGCGTGAACGTACATGTGCAGTTGTAGCAGATTCATATTCTCATGACACAGTTTATATGTATTAATGCAGATCGCCATTATTTTAATAATTATTTAGATTTCTATTCAGAAAATTTAATTTTCTTGCACTGTTTCGTTCTTGATAGATCTATCATGTTAAATTTATTGATTTTGTTAAAGCCATTCTCTTTAAACCTTTCTTTCGGCCAGTCTTCTACTTGTATTATTTTCTAAGATATTAATATTTAATTGCGATTTTTTGATACATCGCAGATTGTAAGCTTTAGACATTAAATACAAATATTTAATTTATTGCGTAAATTTCTTCCGTGAAATAACTTGGTACTTGTAGATAAATTTATTAGATAGAAAATTAAAATGTATATTTTTCATAAATAATAAATCTGTTTATAGAGTTTCAAAAGTCACACACTTGAGAAGAAATTAAAAAAAAAAAATACAGTCTCCATTTTATAAAAATCCATTTAATCACTGTCAATTTTTTATATAAATAAAAAAACAACTTTTGTAAAATTAATACAGAGATCTCAGGTTCTTTTTATGATAATTAAATGTACTTTATAGTTTAGATTTGAAGCTCTGCGAGCATTTAAATTAAAATATAATTTAATTTAAATAATCTTTAAATTTAATTCAAAATAATCTTTTCGTCTTGTCAAAAAACATTCCGCATTTTGAAACAATCCTATCAGGTTTTGCGTTTATCCTATCGTGTAGATCGTTTATCAGGTCTATCGTGTTTTGCGTTTATCGTGCTTTGCGTGTATCGTGTTTTGCGTTTATCGTGTATTGCGTTTATCCTATCGTGCGTGATTCCTATCGTATCGTGCGTGTATCCTATCGTATCGTGTATCCTGTAAAGAATAACGATGCGGGTACTGTAGCATTAGAGGGCCGTTCTGCCCTCTTAACCTTTTGGGGGGAGAGGGCAGAACAGTCCTTTATAACTGCAAATCATACATACTTCATCTATAATATCAAGGCGGCAAACAAGTTCAAGGGCCAACGAGCTTATAATTCCACACCCCCAACAACATTTGTGGTAAATATGTAATGTTTAAGAATATTTTTGGTGCGACTTCATCGTTTTCGGTACGAAGTAATTGAATTAATGCACTTCCGCCCAAGAGGGCACATGTTGTTTATGCAGTTTTTCTGTAATGTTTTCGATTACTTGGAGCCCATCAAAGTGTAAGTTTATTCCTTTATCATTGGAATTGATTGAATTATTACATGTATTTGATAATGTCAGTGACAAATAAGCGTCTAGGTCTGTTGTTAATGTCAAACTAGTACTTCGCACATGTGAACTTTTTCGCGCCATATTTTCATAGTTCATAACCTTGAGATAATTATTGTCCATCAATTTAGGGCTGTTAGCTTATGATTCTTTTCTGTTTTTTGTAGCTTTCACTATTACGTATGTATGTATAGATGCCTATATATACTGTGCAAGACGCACTGAATAAAGCTTTGTCAACACAACTGTCAAGTGTACTGACTCGGGCTTTACAGTGAAAGACTTTGTACGCAGCTCACTCATCATGTCGGACGTCTCCGTAAGCGCGGAACTCGCCAAAATTCATCTGAAATACGCAGATGAGGAAACTGCATTGAAGAAAGCTCAAGCTGAAATCATATATAAACAGCAATTAATCAAGATGGACCTTGAACTTTTAGCAGAAAAACGTGCTATTGAAGAAATGTATGCTAAGGACAGCACTACTAGTTCAGAGGATTTAACAGATGTTAGTTCGTGGTGTTCGAGCGAATACATGCCAACATCTGTGAAAGCTGAAGAGGAGAACATTCAGAACATTCAGTCAGTTTATTTATCAGCTGAGACACCAGCATTCGTTCCTAGACACGTGGAGCCACATGCGCCTAAACGTATTAGAGATGGACTCACCTATCACCCTGCACAGCCATTGGTAACAGACCCGTCTGCGAGGGAACTCTTCCCCAATCGACCAAAAGCTGCGTCGTCAAACTACGTACCTGTACGAGCTAACACACACGATAACAGACTTATCAACACTCCTGGAGCACCTTGTCTACCAGAACAAGGATGGAAAGACACCGTTCATTCATGGGATTATTCTCCAGAACCTACCTCAGCATTTGATAGGAATCTGCTTCCTCCCGAAGTAGATCATACGCAACATACAGGAGCTCGTCATGTAGATCAGTGTTCGGACTTTGCAAAATTCCTTCTCAAAAAGGATCTTGTTCTTACAAGACTTTCTAAGTTTGATGACCGACCTGAAAACTACCTAGCTTGGAAACACAGTTTCAAATCAGTGATGAAGGAGCTTGACATTAGCGCATCAGAAGAATTGGACTTGCTCGTGAAATACTTGGGCCCTAGTTCAACTGCTCAGGCGATAAGCGTTAGATCATCCAATCCAACAGATCATCAGAGAGGACTTCTCCGTATATGGAATCGACTCAATGACCGGTATGGCAGCCCACAAGTGATAGAGGCTGCACTAAAGCGGAAACTTGAAAACTTTGCTAAAATCGGTGTTAGAGAAAAGGAGAAACTTTACGTACTCTCGGATATTCTCTCAGAGATTGAGTCAGCGATGGAGGACCCACAGCTCAGAGACTTGTTATCGTACTTTAACACTTCCTCTGGTACAACGCCTATTGTCGCAAAGTTACCGCCATCTCTGCAGTCCAAATGGAGAGACAGAGCCGTGAAATATGAGAACAGACACAAGGTGGCTTTTCCTCCCTTTAGAGAGTTCAGTGAATTCATTCGTGAACAGAGTATTATCTGAAACGACCCTGGATTTGTATTCACATGCAATCCGCAGCCAGTTCAGACAGGAAATAGAGGACTCAGTGTGAATAACAGGAAACAGCTGTGAGAGACTCTATCAATTCTGTGGGATCAAAGTGCTCTATACATAATGCAGATCATAGCTTACAGGACTGTAAGGGATTTCTAAAGCTCTCTATGACAGAAAGGAAGAAGTTCTTGCGAGACCGCAATCTGTGTTTCAAGTGCTGTGAGTCTACGAATCACCGCGCAAAGGACTGTAATGTGCCAGTTAAGTGTAGAGTGTGCTCTAGTGATAAACATTCCACAGCACTGCATGTCGGTGTTACCCATAGGACTCAAAGCAATCCTGAGCCTTTGGTCGGTGAAGCAGCCGAGCTCCATGGCGGGGAGCCACAAACGTCTTTGTGTACAGAAGTATGCGGACCAGGATTTTCTGGGAAATCCTGCGGGAAAGCGGTACTTGTGCGTGTTTACTCTGCTGACACGCCTCAGAACTATTATCATACTTACGCTCTTATCGACGACCAGAGCAATAGGACACTGGCCCGTTCAAAACTTTTTGATGCTCTGTGTAGCCCAAAGACACAGTCAGTGCAGTATACCCTGTCGACTTGTGCTGGGCGCTCAACTGTGACTGGAAGACAGATATCTGGACTTACTATAGAATCACTAGATGGAACATTTAGAATTGGTCTTCCACCAGTTATCGAATGCAGTAATATTCCAAATGATCGTCAAGAGATCCCTACACCAGATGTGATAACACATTTTGAACACTTGAAAGGTATTCAGATCCCACCTCTTGATGAGAAGGCAAACATTTTACTTCTTATTGGAAGAGACTTACCAGAAGTACACCATGTATTGGAACAGAAGACGGGGCCAAGGACTGCTCCATTTGCCCAGCGGCTACCACTTGGTTGGGTAGTGATCGGTAACGTTTGTCTCGGAGACACATGTACACCATCAGCTGTAGCTAGCGTCAACAAAACTACAATCCTGAGTAGTGGACGACCATCTGCATTTGAACCATGTGATAATCACTTAGCTGTTTCAATAAATACTGGAAAAGGTGACAGAATTGGACAGGATGTGTTTGTTCGGACAAAGGATGACGAGAATGAGGGATACTCTGTCGAGGACCGACGGTTCATGAAAATCAAGGATAAGGAGTTTACGAAAACACCAGATGGTCATTGGGAAGCCCCATTACCGTTTAAGGAGTCACGTTCCGCTTTACCCAATAATAGAGAGGAAGCGCTGAAACGTGCACGGATCCTACAGAAGAGTCTTCAACGAGAACCTGTGAAACGGGACCATTTTCACACTTTTATGACAAAGCTGCTGCAAAACGGACATGCAGAAGTGGCGCCACCACTTGATGCAGTACAGGAGTGCTGGTATCTACCGTTATTCGGAGTGTACCATCCACGGAAAAGGGACCAAGTTAGAGTGGTTTTCGATTCCTCAGCTAACTACAAGGGAATCTCACTAAACGCTGTTTTGATGTCAGGACCTGTGCTAATGAACAGTCTAGTTGGTGTCCTACATCACTTTCGCAAGGAGCCAGTTGCTGTAATGGCGGATATACAGCAGATGTTTTATGGATTTTTCGTGACAGAGAATCATCGCAATTTCTTGCGTTTCTTTTGGCACCAGGACCATGATCCCCACAAAGAACTGGTTGAGTATAGGATGTGCGTCCATGTTTTTGGAAATTCCCCTTCTCCGGCGGTTGCGACCTATGGTCTCCGTCGTTGTGTGGAACATTCTGAGGAACCGGAAGTGAAGGAATTCGTTAACAACCAATTCTATGTGGACGATGGTTTGGCATCCTTCCCTACAGAAGAGGAAGCTATAAGTGTATTACAGAAGACACGCGAGACTCTGTTTCAAGAGGGACAACTTAAGCTCCACAAGATAGCGTCCAACAGTAAGACTGCCATGAATAGCATTTGCACAGAGGACTTGAGCAAGTGACGTAAAAACTTTAGATATTGCTAAGGCTGACTTACCTTTGCAGCACAGTCTTGGACTGGTCTGGGACCTCAACACAGACATATTCACGTATCGTGTGCGGGACAATGAGAAACCATTTACCAGGAGAGGCGTGCTGTCTGTGGTCAATAGTCTATTTGACCCCCTCGGAATGATCGCACCAGTCGTACTCCAGGCGTGCTGTCTGTGGTCAAGGATTTGACCCCCTGATGATCGTCGTACTTGGGATAGCCGTGACTTGATAGCTGAGACTATAAATTGGGACGACCCATTACCAGAGTGTCGCATAAAGGACTGGAGGAATTGGAAGGACTCTTTAAAATCTCTGGAACATCTACAGGTGCCCAGATGTTTACTTCAGCATTCCTACAAGGACTGTGATGTGAAACGTTTGCATGTGTTTTCAGATGCCTCAGAGCAAGCGATTGCTGCTGTTGCATTCCTGCAAGCTATTGACAGTGATAGAACTATTCATGTAGGCTTCACATATGGGAAATCCAAGATAGCACCAAAACATGGCCACACCATACCGAGGCTTGAACTCTGTGCGGCAGTGTTGGCTGTTGAAGTCGGTGAGATGGTATCTCAACATCTTGGACTGGAATTGAGTGACATTCAGTACTATTCAGATAGTCGAGTGGTGTTAGGATATTTACAGAATACAAGTAGAAGGTTCTACATTTACGTCAGCAACCGTGTTGCCAGGATCCACAGGTCATCTCAACCTGATCAGTGGAACTACATAAGGACCGAGATAAATCCTGCAGACTCAGGAACAAGAATCATGTTGGCATCTCAACTTCAGGATAGTTCATGGCTGAAAGGTCCGGACTTCTTATACATAGAAACTAAGTCTGATTAGAGTGAAGGTTTTCATCTTGTCAACCCTGAGAGTGATCGAGAGATTCGTCCTGAGGTTACTACATGCAAGACCAACACGAATGGCATGGAAACAGTAGGATATCTCAGAACATCTCGTCTCAAGCGATTTTCCAGTTGGAAATCTCTCTTATCTGCAATAAGAGTGTTGCTGCGATTCGTGACAAAATTCAGAAATAAGAACAAAGAGACTGAAACTAATGACACAGAACTCATCAGGCAGGCTGAGAACCAGATTGTTAGAGCTGTGCAGTTAGACACCTACCCTAGAGAGACTGAAGCTCTAATGGACAACAGACCCACACCGCGTACAAGCTCCATTCTAAAGCTTGCGCCCTTTATAGATGACGTAGGGATCATAAGAGTAGGAGGTAGACTCCAAATATCAGACCTACCATATGGTGAGAAACATCAAGTCTTGATTCCAGGAAAACGTCATATTGCATCATTGATTGTTAGACATTTCCATGAACGGACAGAGCATCAGGGAAGACATCTCACAGAAGGCGCCGTGAGGAAAGCAGGATTCTGGATCACTGGAGGGAAACGCCTTGTATCCTCCATACTCTTTCATTGTGTAATCTGTCGGAGATTGCGAGGAAAGTTCGTAGAACAAAAGATGAGTGACTTACCTAGAGACCGTTTGACGCCTTGTCCACCGTTCACATTTGTTGGTGTTGACGTGTTCGGTCCGTGGGATGTGTTAACCAGACGCACACGTGGAGGAAGTGCCAACTCGAAACGTTGGGCTGTGATATTTACTTGCTTGTACTGTCGAGCAGTTCACTTTGAACTCATTGAGGAAATGAGTACAGGATCATTCATCAATGCTATGAGAAGATTTTAAGCTATTCGTGGTGAAGTCAAAGAATTTAGGTCGGATCGAGGTACCAATTTTGTTGGCGCCGCCGACGCACTACACATGAAGGTCATCAATGTAGAGGACTCCGAAACGATGTCAATCTTGGAGGACCATAGAACTGTGTGGAAATTTAATCCCCCTCATGCGTCCCATATGGGTGGGGTATGGGAGCGGCTTATCGGAGTTGCGAGACGCATTCTTGATAACATGCTTAGAAACCCAGCTAATCAGAACCTGACTCATGAAGTTCTATCTACCTTAATGGCAGAAGTCAGCGCAATAATCAACGCGAGGCCTATCGTACCAGTTTCCACTGACCCAAACTCACCGTTCATTCTTACACCATCAGTTCTGTTAACACAGAAGACTGGGACCATGATACAGCATCCTGCGGAGTTGGATTCCAAGGACATGAATCGTTCCCAATGGAAATACGTTCAGATCCTGGCGAACACCTTTTGGAAACGTTGGAAATCTGATTACTTGTCAACTTTGCAGTCGAGACAGAAGTGGGAGTCCGTGAATGAGAACTTGAAAGTCGATGACATCATTCTCTTACGCGACCGAGATGTACCCCGTAATCAGTGGCCCCTGGGAGTGGTGTTGCGTGTGTTCCCTAGCGACGATGGTTTGGTCCGAAAGGTGGAAGTACAAGTTGTTCGAGGCGATGAAAAGACTGTATATGTTCACCCTGTGTGTGAAATTGTGAAAATCTTGTCTGTGTAAGGTGCAAACTGTACATTTGCATGTGAATTGATGTTGCATATTGATATTATTTTATTCTAGTCACTAGTAGTGATGTTGATTGAATTTGCAATGTATGTGTTGATATTAGCATATCAGGCGGGGAGTGTAATGTTTAAGAATATTTTTGGTACGACTTAATCGTTTTCGGTACAAATTAATAGAGTTCATGCACTTCCGCCCAAGAGGGCACATGTTGTTTATGCAGTTTTTTCATAACATTTTCGGTTATTTGGAGCCCATCAAAGTGTAAGTTTATTCTTTTATCATTGTAATTGATTGAATTATTACATGTATTTGATAATGTCAGTGACAAATAAGCGTCTAGGTCTGTTGTTAATTTGTTAATGTCAAACTAGTACTTCGCACATGTGAACTTTTTCGCGCCATATTTTCATAGTTCATAACCTTGAGATAATTATTGTCCATCAATTTAGGGCTGTTAGCTTATGATTCTTTTCTGTTTTTTGTAGCTTTCACTATTACGTATGTATGTATAGATGCCTATATATACTGTGCAAGACGCACTGAATAAAGCATTGTCAACACAAGTGTACTGACTCGGGCTTTACAAAATAACTTACTCATATGATTTGAAATTGCTTTAGTTCAAAAAAGATTAGTAATTACAACAAATAAAAACAATAAAATCCGTATAGTTTTAGTAAAGAGTCTAAGATATAAAAAGAATAACCATTGCAAAATGCACAAATTCAAAAATTAAATTATTACGCAGAAATTGAGACGCATCATTATCACGAGGTTAAAACAACTTAAATTTGTTTTGATGAAAAAAAAATGACAAGAATACTTTAAATCATCTAGAAGATGAAACAATAATTATATATCAGGACTGCTTAAAGATTGTTTTAGTAATGAATTAATCTTGCATTTATTGCAGTTTTTGATATATACACATGAAAATATTTGTAGATGGTAGAGGAGTAAGACGTGAAGGAGGAGGTGTTCGAAGGCAGGATACAATCTGTTTCTTTTGAAAAGTAAATATATGGATTGAAAAGAAGCTCCATATCTGTAGCGTTATAATTTTATATATTTGTCTTCGAACATAACGCTACAGATCCCATAATGCTAAAAAGATGAATTTACAAGGGAAGATAATGATTATAACCATAAAAATCAATTACAGGATTCTTGATTTTTCTTTTTTTAAACAAGAGGCCCACGGGCCTTATAGGTCATCTAAGCATTACGCAACAATTTTCCAGTTATTGAATTTGATTCATGTTTTAAGCCAGATGCTATATGACATTCACAATTTTGAAAGAGGCACCATTGATCATCATAACAATACACTTAGCAGTTGCTTAGCTTGGTTACTGAATATGCAGGGTAGGGGAACAAAAATGCATTCCAACTAACCAGTAGTGCCCCTAACACTGTGACTAGGTCTACACATTGCACAAATTTCAAAATGGCACTTTAATATAAAAAATAAATGTTTTATAAATACAAAAGAGCAGATTTCAAACAATAAATTCATTTTCAGTATATAAGTAGAGCCCCCACCCCACCCCTGACCCTGGGGCTTTGAAATTTACAATTCTGCAAGATTACGGCCCTTGCTCATCATAACTATAAAGGTAGTTCACCTGCTTTATACCCAGAGACAAAGAAAAAAAAATCAAAGATTTAATGTATTTTCATTATATAATCAATTGAGCCCCGCCCCCTAACACCAGAACCCCTGACCATGGGGCCATAAAATTCATAATTTTAAAAGAGGCAGTCTTGCTCATCATAACTATGTACTTAGTTTATTTAATTCCTAGGAGCAGAGAAGAAGATTTTCAAAGAATTCATGTATTTTCAATATATAATAAATAGAGCCCTGCCCTAACACCAGAAACCCTGACCCTGGGGCCATAAAATTCACAATTTTGGTAAAAGCACTCTTGCTCATCATAACTATGCACTTAGTTAGTTTATTTAATACCTAGGAGCAGAGAAGAAGATTTTCAAAGAATTCATGTATTTTTACTATATATAATCTATAGAGCCCCGCCCTAACACCAGAACCCTTAAGCCATATAATTAACAATTTTGGTTGAGGCACTCTTGCTCATCATAACTATGCACTTAGTTGGTTTATTTAATACCTAGGAGCAGAGTAGGAGATGATCAAAGAATTTATGTATTTTCACTATATAATCAATAGAGCCCCCCCCCCTAACACCTGAACCCTTGACCCTGGGGCCATAAAATTCACAATTTTGGTAGAGGCACTCTTGCTCATCATAACTATGTACTTAGTTGGTTTATTTAATACCCAGGAGTAGAGAAGAAGATTTCCAAAGAAATAATACATTTTCACTATATACTTATTTTGCCCCGCCCTAGCATTAGAACCCCTGACCCCAGGGCCATGAATTTCACAATTTTGGTAAAGGACTCAATGCTGATAACAATCATGCAAACAGTTTGACTGCTTGATGAACTTTTGGACATTTTTAGTTGCTTTACATTTCGACCGTTACCGAAAACAATTTTCAGATAACATTGAAACAGATGAACCTGCTCCATGTGGCCTTGAAATCGAAAAGGAAACCCGTAAAACTTCACAGTCGATACTTTAGGATATTCCTCTCACAAAGACCATTTCTTTTGATGTTAAACCATAGGGAAACCATGAATGATGAATTATAAATTCCAATCGGAAAAATATGTCGACAAAAAAGAAAAGTGGATTCCGATTGAAGGCTTGTCAGCATCAATAGTTTCATTAATTTGATTTTATTCCATACTCAACAATAGATGATAGCGTCTACTGTTTAGCTTGCGTTTTATTCCCAAAGGAAGGCGATCTAAGCAGTTAATTACTGAGCCATATCGTAATTGGAAGGAAGATATGGCAGATTTGAAAAATCATTCTCAATGTCACTATCACAAATCGTTTGCAGAAAATGTTCTTTTCAAAGATCAATTATTTTTCGACAGGAGCTAAGGGGCCCCAACCACTTGTATTTAGTAAGAAAAACTGTCCAAAACAATTATATGCACAAATACTGTCCATCTACCAACCCAGAATTCCACGTACAATGACTTTTTTATTATCATTTATGCACAAGCTCAGCAGCACTCAATCAGTTTGTCATCACTTTATAACTTTCCTAAGCTGAAGGCCTAAGTGAGCTTTATTTTTATTATGCCCCTGGATCGAAAGAACCCGGGATGTATTGTTCTTCTCTTGTCTGTCTGTAAGATCTTCTTTCTCTCAGATGTCAACTTTGCTCATAACTATTGAGTAGGAGGAGCTATGGTTTTCATATTCCACATGTGTAGTCTTTGTTACAAGACCTTTAATTGGGACCACCAAATTTGACCTATTGACTTTGACTTGGAGTTTGACCTACTTTTACAAGAAATACATGTTAACCTTGGCCATATCTTTTGCTATAGCTGGAGCTAAGGCTTCAATATGTCACATGTGTATTTAATCTTGCCCAAAACCATTGAACTGTAAGGGTTAGAGCTTTCTTACTTCAGATCTGTAGTTCTTGAGACAAGACCTTTCATCTGACACGAAAAGCTTCGGCCTTGACCTTGTAGTTTGATTTACCTTAAATAACTTGAACCTTGGCAATAACTTTTGAATAATCAGGGCTCTTATTCTTCTTCCTTTATGTAATCTTTGTGACTTGGCCTTTCTTAAGAAACAAACAACCTTGACCCAGAAGGGAATCAAAGTTTTATATTTGTATTCTATTTTTGATATATTTATGGATTAACCTCATCAGAAGGATATACTTATACATGTATTATAAAAATATACTTGTAGTTCTTTTTTTATATTTCTCTCAGAACATCAAAATGCACATATTTCACGAATGGCAGACTAGAACAATTAAAAGCTAATTCGCAAAAAACGGGAAAATCTTTCCCGGTCATCTTAGAAGATGAACAAGGGGTGAAGCATTGATTGATTTAAAGGCTGACGCAGTAGTATGTGTGTATAAAACCAGTTAGAAACATGAAATTTATAATTTTTTTAAAAAATGGTTTTTAAAATCCTCCAAATTTTCATATACCACCAAATAACATTGATTGAATACAAGTAGGAGATGGTCACTTTCTTGTGAAAAGTCAATCTCCTGGAAGTTCACTGGTTTATAGTGTTAACATCTTCTCGGAGGAATTACCTGTAGCGTCATGTAATTGTTTAGCATCATCTGGATTGTAAGCACTTCTGTGCAATATTTCGGCAAGTGAGTATGTGGAAT